AAAAAAAGCCGGCCTACCCACTATTTGCGTTTTGGCATCAACCTGTTTACAAATTAAGTCCTTGGTAGAATTATACCTTTTTTTTATTAGTCAAACAAGCTAAACTCCTTTTTGTGGTGTTTTAGATGAAATCTTTTTTCTAAAAAAAGTGAAACTCTTTATTCAGAACGTCTGCAGACGGTTACTCGTCAACAGTCTTGACTCTTGATTTGAAGGGTCCTTCATATGTCCATGCTGTTTTAAATATCCTTCATTTTAATTCAGTGTTTTGTGTTGAGGCTCAGGAGACTGCCCAGCTGGAGGAGCAGCTGCAGGCCTGGGGGGAGGTGATCCTGGCTGGAGACCGGGTCCTGCGCTGGGAGAAACCCTGGTTCCCTGCAGTCTTGATTGGAGCCACCACCGCCATCTTCCTGTGAGTCTGATGTCTTTAAGGGTGCATCCACACCAGCCCTGTTTAGTCCGCTTTAACTGAACTCTAGTCAGTTTGCCTAGAAAGTCCTGGGGAGGTGTGAATGCACAATCAAACTAATGTGGACCAAAAAAATCGAACTCTGGTCCACCTAAAAACCTAGGTCTTGGTTCGGTTGAAGTGAATTCTGGTGTGGTTCGAATGCATTGTGAATGCAAGCAGATAGGAGATCAGGTTGATTGACTAAGTGCAGTGGGAATGAGAACCACACCAGCTGAAAATGTAAACAAATGTTCTGAATACTGGTCCCCAATTGAACAGAGTTGTCTAGTTTAGGTTTTTTTTTTTAAGTTTAATTTATGACCCCTCTGTCTTTGTCCCCTCCACATCAGTCTTTAACCAGTTTGAACCCATTTCCCTCTCATTTCTAAATGACGTCATTGGTCATATGAAACCCTCAGGTTCCTCCGCTGACCCCATCCCTGCATCGTTTTTTTAAACAAGTCCTACCCTCCATTGGAGACACTGTTCGTGACATTATAAACAGCAGTGTGGCTACAGGTGTGGTTCCTGATGCTTTTAAACATGCAGTGGTAACTCCTTTAATAAAAAAAACCCGGACTTGACCCTTCAACCTGTTCAAACTTCAGACCTATCTCCAAATTTCCCTTTCTAAGATCCTGGGAAAATAGTTTTCACTCAATTAAGAGAGTTCTTGAGTGGAAATTCTATTCTTGAGATTTTTCAGTATGGCTTTAAGAAACTACACAGCACCGAAACAGCCTTAGTTAGGGTCTGCAATGACATTCTTCTGGCAAATGACTCTGGTCAGTCTGTAGTCCTGGTACTCCTTGACCTTACCGCTGCATTTGATACTGTGGACCACAGTATCCTTTTATCCCGCTTAGAACACTGGCTTGGTATTACTGGTGCAGCATTAGAATGGTTCCGTTCATACCTGAACGACAGGAGCTTCTGTGTTAATTTTGCAACACTCCTTATCTACTTCAGTGCCTCTTTCCTGCGGGGTCCCGCAAGGCTACATTCTTGGACACCTTCTGTTTTCATTTCATCTCCTCCCCTTAGGGTCTATCCTGAGGAAACATGGTCTTTCCTTTCTTTCATTGTTACGCTGATGACTCTCAGATTTATCTGCCGTTAACACCTAACCGTTCCTCCTCCATTTGCCCTTTGTTAAAATGTCTTGATGACATTAAAGCCCCCAGTACACTGCCGCGCACGTCCGTTCACGCGTACGTACGCGGCAGTGTACTGTACGCAGAGGGTTCAGACTTCGTACTCCAGCGTACACCCCGAGCAGCTGCAGAGCAGCTTCACAGACAAGGGGCGTTTACTTTTGGGACAAATTAAGGTCGCCGATTGGTCATTTGCTGACATGCCTACTGGATTGATTGACAGGTCGGAGGAAAAAAAAAAAAAGAGCGCTGGCAGCCACAGCGGTGTTCTGTGTTTATATGTTGTTCATAAAAAGATTAAAGTGTGTTAATGGCCTTGCACCCTCATACCTCTCCGACCTCCTTCATCCTTATACTCCTTCTCGGGCCTTGAGATCATCAGACCAGCTTCTCATCCTTCGTCACATCCTGATTTTCTTTTTCCTCCAGGCCGAAGAGCCTCAGGTTCCAGTGACATGAGTAAGCTTACAGCTGGGAATACAACTTACGTGCACATTGCAGATTTTCTGTTAACATGCTTCTCATAGGGGCAGCACGGTGGCGCAACTGGTAGAGCTGCTGCCTCTCAGCGAGCATGTCCCTGGTTCAAACCCCGGTCCAGGGGCCTTCTGGGTGGAGTTTGCATGTTCTCTCCGTGCATGCATGGGTTTTCTCCGGGTACTCCGGTTTCCTCCCACAGACCAAAAACATGCATGTTAGGCTGATTGGTAACTCTAAATTGTCCCTAGGTGTGAGTGAGAGAGTGAATGGTTGTTTGTCTCGTTTGTCTCTATGTGGCCCTGTGATGGACTTGCGACCCGTCCAGGGTGTACCCCGCCCCTCGCACAGTGACTGCTGGACATGGGCACCAGCGACCCCCGTGACCCAAAATGGAATAAACGGGTAAAGATAATGGATGGATGGATGGATGCTTCTCATAGTAATTCCTCCTTGCTTTTCATGTCTTTTAAATCTGCACAGATGAACTCCAGCGATTCCTTGAAACCTTCTATTTGTTTAGAATTGTCCTTGATGGCCTCCTTTGCCTCGGTGACAACAGAGTTGCTTCTGACCATTTTTTTCCTGCACGTCCGACCTGTTGTTTATGAGCGAGGTAAACGATGCTAACTCTGAGAGGACGGTTGTCTCAGTATCTTGTAGCTTTCTTTGTTTCTCTGCTGGAGGCTTGGAGGGTGTCACGGGCAAAGGTGGAAACTCTGCTTCTATCACCTCATCAGTATTTGGGCCAATATAATCATGCATGTTGGTACCGGTCGAGCTTTTTGATCCATCAAACTTCCTGTGTACTGAACCAGCTAGCTTGTTAGCTAAGCTAGCGGTGGATAGTTTGTTGTACTCGTGTTTTCTTCTTTCTGCACTCTTCGTCACTCTCCAGTTCCTGTGCTCTTATTAATAGCACCTTGATAGCAGAATGTCTCCTTGTAGCAAACGGACTCCTTAAAATATGAACATGCATCGGTTGATTTCCAGAGCTCCCAAAGTGCATCTGTTCTGAGCGCCATCTTGAGCACCACATCTGGCACATCACTTCCTGCGCCTCTCTCAGGTCACATCACTACTTCCTGCCTCTCTCTCTTGGGTCACATCACTTCCTGTTGGCCGATCCAGAATCGGAGGTGGCAGAGTGTTTTCAGTCTCCACCTCTAAACTGGAATGAACCGACAGGCTGACTCACTTCCTGTTTGTAGATCTTGCATGTTAGGCTGCCTTCAGGCCCAGGCCACCCTTGCAAAAGAGATCTGTGATCTCAATGGGATTTGCCTGGTTAAATAACGGTTAATAATAAAATAATAATCTTAAAGCATTTTATCTGTGTGACTTTTCACTTGGCTTGAAGGCTTTTTATGTTTTCTAAAGTTTTTTGTTCTCTTTTTGTTTTCTTTTTTTTTTTTAATAATGTAACTCTTGATTAATTTTACTGTTATTTTTATGTTGTCGTGTGCAGCTCTTTGGCCAACAGTGTTTTATTTTAGTGCTTTATAGATAAAGTTTCAGAAGCGTTCTAATGAATATTTCCTGTTTTCAGGCTGGTGTACTACTTGGACCCGTCGGTTCTGACCGGACTCTCCTGCACTGTCATGCTGCTCTGCCTGGCTGATTACCTCGTGCCCACCCTGGTCCCCAGAGTCTTCGGCTCCAATAAGTGGTAGGATGTTTGTTCTGAGCTCGGACTCATCAGCAGGTGTCCTGACTTTGTGACAACTCGAACTTCAGTCTCCAGACAGCTTCTCGCTCCTCTACGGGGAGGGGGGGTGGGGAATGAAAGTGCTGCTGGGGGTCAAACTGCTTCAGTCCTGGTTGAATCTGCAGCTCAGCTGATTTATAGAGTTTCACACTCTGAGCTTAAACTGCAGCTCTGAACCTGCGGGGGGGGGGTGTGTCACTGAGCTGTCTGCCTGGTGGGGGTGGGGGGTCACTGAGCTGTTGTGCTGGTTCTGGTCTCACTGGGCTTGGTTACAGCAGGGACTGAAATAGGCAGAGCTGGCTCAGCAGAAGCTAAAGGTCAAGAGGCCTCAGAACCTTTAATCTGTCTTTGATCTTTAAACACCCCCCCCCCCCGGTCTTGGTTCTGTGAGGACAGCTATTTCAATTCAGTTTTATTTATATAGCACCAAGTCACAACAGAATCGTCTCAGGGCACTGAACAGAAATATTCGTATATAAAAATAATAATTTAACATCATTTATCTGAGGAGCAGACTGCTTTGAGTTTAACTCCATCACAGAACTCATCTTGAGCAAGCATGAAGGCGACAGTGGAAAGGAAAAACTCCCTCGTGAGGAAGAAACCTTTAGCAGAACTGGTGGTCTTCAGTAGGACTTGGACTGTTTGAAAATGTTCAAGTCCAACATCAGGACATGTGAGACAATTGTGAGACAATCTGGGGACATTCCACCTTAAAGACCCGGTCTTGGTTCCTCTGCAGGATGTAAATCCTCCTGCAGGAGGTTCTGATTGGATTTGGACTGATCTGGTCCTTTGCTTTGGACAGATGGGCTTTAGCCTTCCCTGGTCCAGAGTGGACCAGTTCCTGAGACTGGACTTGTCTGTGTGCAGGACCACGGAGCAGCAGCAGCGCTTCCATGAGATCTGTGGAACCCTGGTGAGGACTCGGCGTCGGATCGTGGGCTGGGGGAAGCGTCTCTGCACCCTCAAAGAGGAGAAACCCAAAGTGGTGAGTTGAAGCTCTGCCGGCCCGGACCCGTTTCTGGGCTGACTACACGGGTCAAGAGTAGGACTGGGCGATATCTTGATATTTTTAAAACACCAATATAATTTTATTTGCGATATAAATTGACATTATTTAGATATAAACAATATAGTTCTACTTGAAAATCCGCCAGCTCTGCTGTTCTTTCTTCTCCCACACGGCCCCCCTCCTCTCCCTCACTATAAACCCAGCCCCTACCTACGTGCTCTCCCCCTGCTTCCTGCTTCTCTCCAGGTGGAGCTGCTACCTGCGGCTTGTAGCAGCCGCAATTTGAGAGCAAGTCGCAGAACTGGTAAGCGGAAGGAAAAAAAATGGCTCCGTTATTTGGAGGTGGTTCGGATTTAATTTCAGATGTGCAGCAGAAAAATGTTTTCTGTAGACGATGCCGAAAACGAGTCCTGACAAAAATGTTCGAGCACATCGAACCTTTTCCACCATTTAAAACTGCGCTATAAAGTGGAGTATGAAGCGTGTGTTAAACTTGGTGCTGCAGCTCCGGCTGTGAAGCTTCGTTCTCTGAGACGAACTACGGTACGAAACTCTTACCTGTGCTGTGCCTCATGAGAGGTGACGTAAATAAAACAGCAGCTTATCACATCGCTAAAGACACGGTCCTTAGCGGCTAACAAAACGGCTGTTGGCCACAAAGGACCGTGTCTTTAGCGATGTGATAAGCTGCTGTTTTATTAATGTGGCGCTACTTCCTCTCATTGCAAGACTTGAAAATCTGTGTAGTTCTTTTTCTGCCAGTCTGCGCAGCCAACTTCACGCAGCCTCCCCCTCCTCCTCCCTCGCTGAATACAAGCAGGCCCTCGCGTTCTGCTTCACACTGCTTAACATAGTGAAGGTGGCGCAGCTGGGGAGGATTGTGTTTTTTGTTTTGTTTTTTAAAGGTCTAAAACAAACTTTAAAATATGTAGTTTTAATTTTTAGACATTTATTTTGTAGTTACAGCTGTTGATAAATGTGCCTGTGTGACAACTGGGACTAAGCTTTGACTCAGAAATATATTTTTATTACTTTACGGAAAGAAAAAATATTGATATATATATATATATATTGTATATTGCCATTCATCTTAAAATATCGAGATATTAATTTTTGGTTCATATCGCCCAGCCCTAGTCAGGAGCTAAGGTTGGTTGTGTTGACCCGGGTTCTGGTAACGGCTTGTGTCTCTGCAGTACTTCGCCTCAGTGATCAGCGGGCTGCTGACAGCTGCCTGGATCGGGCAGCAGGTCCACAACCTGCTCCTCACCTACCTGACAGGTGAGTCTGCCTCGGACCGACCCGGAGAGACAAATGGTCCTTTTCATTGGTTCCAACATCGTTCCCTGTTTTGAACGTTTCACCAGAACAAAAGACTTCGGTAACTGATGATTCTTTCACAAGAAAAGTCCCATAGATGAGTAAAATACAGGAACTTTATTTTGTGTTCTGGTGTTCTCCTCTTCATCACCTTCCTCCTGCTTGTGTTTACTCGTTCAACAGGAAGAAGAAAGGAATTCCACTTCCTGCATGTCATATTTAAATAAGTTAAAAACATCTTTGTGTACGGTAAATATTTGTTTAAATACCAGGATCTCATTTAAGCTTAAACAGGCATACGAAGGGGACAACGGGAGGGAGGGGCTGTTCCTCTGTCCTCCCTCCTCCTCATGAGCTCTGAGGAGAAACGCATCAAATTTATTTAGAAAGTACATTTAAAAACAGGAGCTGTTACTGTTTAACAGTAATCAATGGTACTAATTTAATGAATATTTACCACATTCTACCGGTACTTATTTGACTTCCGGTCACATGACCTTTAAGACTGGGTAATATTTACCGGTAGATAATTATTAAATAATTTATGTAGGTGTTTGTCACTGTTCTGTCCAGTGATTATGCTTAGGTAGTTCCTGTGTTCATTGTGAAGGTTTAATGGTTGTAACATGAGTCAGACGGTGAAGCTTCATGATGATCTGCAGTCTGAGCTTGTGTTGAACTGTATTCTGTGTGACGCCACCTGCTGGCTGGTTCTTGTAATAAAAGAAGGCTGCACACAGCTGGAGCAGGACACCTGATCGTGAAGGGTGGATGCCCTCGGCTTAATAACTGAAGAGTCTTATTTATGTACAAAATTATGATATATCTTATATTTTATGTTCTGTAGCCTGAGTAATCTGGAGGTGAAATTGTGCATAAGTCTTGGACCAGTCACAAGAGGACTGACCCAAGACCTTCAGACTAAACACGCTTGTTCTTTCTTAGTTGTAGAAAGTAAAGCCAGTTGGATCAGAACCTTTAATTTCATACAAAGAGTGAGAACAGTTCCTCGGGACAGGTAACAATTAAAGTGTTGAGGCTCGTAACGAGCTGAAGAGCTGAGCTCGGACCAGAGTTCTGCTCCTTGTTTTGTTCTTCAGCTGTGTTTGGTTCTGAGATGACCCAGAGCGGAGGCTGCAGGTTGTAAAGCTGACCATTTCCTGTTTTATTGTGGTCGCAGTGAGTTTCCTGCTGCTGCTGCCGGGCCTGAACCAACATGGTGTCATCACCAAGTACACCGCCATGGTCAAGAGGGAGATCAACAAGCTGCTGAAGCACAAGGAGAAGAAGAACGAGTAGAGGAGGAGGAGGTCTGTGAGGAAGAAGCTCATTTGTTTTCCCACATGATTAGTTTCAGGTTGTGACCTTTGACCCCTCACATTTAGACAAACGGGAAGCTCATCAGGTGAACTCTTGTGTTTAGTGCTTTTCCTTCTGGTTAACCAGTGACTACTGAGCAGCAGCTCCAACCACTTCTTCTTTAGCTTGAACAGACGGGCCTTCTGCTGGAGACGACGGGTCTGCCTAACCCCCTGTGGACGTATTGTTACATTATTTTTATTTCTCCTGGACGTCCCAGCAGTCAATAAAGTTGAATTTTAAGACATTTCTGAGGCTTCATCGGGTCTTTGTTCAGTCTGATTTAAAATCATAATGTCCATCTGTCTGTGCTAACGATTACTCAATCATCCAAGTAAATAACAAAAAAGGTTGAACCGTGTCATCTGGACCAGTTTCTTTAATTGAGAAATGTTTCTTCTTCCATCCGGAGGACCGTCTAAAACATTTGATTGTTGTACATGATTGTTTTGGACGGGTGGGCCATGTTTGCACGTGTTACAATGCCTTTTGTCAGATTCCAACAGGAGGTTCGCTTGAAACAGTAGTGAAGGCTACCTATGGGACAGATCTGGTTGGCAGGCCGTAGACTGAGGAAGTCCTCTGGATAGGGGACGAAACATTTTGCACTTAAAGAAACTCGTCCAGATAATTTGATTTAATCTTTTTTGTTATTACTCAAAGTAATGATGGTTCAGGTTCAGGTTAGCTTTATTTGTCATGTTTATCATACCGTCTCAACTAAAAAAAAAAAGCATGCAGCAAAAATACTAAAAACATAAAGTACAACTAAAGTACTAAAAAAATAATGAAATGCAGAAAAAAACATTCTAAAATACTAAACATAAACAAAATACTAAAACATACTAAAAATACTAATATTAAAACAGTTAAATGCTACTAAAATATTAAAAGTATTTTAAAAAGTTTACTAAAAGTATTAGTATATTATACTACTAAAATAATGCTTAACATGACTAATATATTAAACACACTAAGAATACTACTAAATAGTAAAACGTACTAAAAGTACTACTAAAGTACTAAAAATACTACTCGTACCAAAAACGTACTAAAAAATACTAATGTACTTAAAAATACTACTGAAGTTCTAAAAAATACAATGTACAAAAATTACTACTAAAATGCTAAAGCATACAAAAACTACAAAAAACCCCACTAAAAATACAAATAAAATACTAAAAAATGCTACTAAAATATTAAAACATACTAAAAAATGCTAAAATATTAAAACATACTAAAAAAATGCTACTAAAATATTAAAACGTACTAAAAAATGCTACTAAAATATTAAAACATACTAAAAAATGCTACTAAAATATTAAAACATAATAAAAAAATGCTACTAAAATAATAACATACTAAAAATACATCTACAATTACTAAAAAATTACTAAAATAGTTAAAATATACAAAAAAAATACTACTAATATACCAAAACCAACTACTAAAATAGTTAAAACCAGTGGTTAATTTAAGCTGGGTCCTGCCAGAACAAGATCCGGGAACAATCTCATCAAAGTTGCCGTAACCCGTTGAGTTCCGGCAACTTTATTCGGATCCGGCAACTCTGCCCCTAAAAGTCCAAAGTCATTGTGCATTTTTATTTTGATTATTTATTAAAAATACGAGAGGAGACGTTGCCCTTAGCCCAGCAGATCCAGTCTGTGGAGTGGATGTTCCAGCTGAAAATAAATGATAAAATAAAAATCTTTACAAAACGGAACGTGAAAATTGATGGACTCACATTCACTGATTTTAAATCTGTTTTATTTTTGTTCCATTGCTGTCACTTCTGAAACATTCACAACAGTTGATTCTTCTTTTAGTTTCCTTTTTTGGGGTTTTCTTCATAAAACAGAAGAAAAGAAACAAAAAGTGTGATGAGAAAAACTTCATGAAGAATCGGGCACCACAGGCCAGACTCCTTAGGAGGTGGTCTCCATGCATTATGGCTTAATGCCCCTTTCTTGGAAAAGTCCAAGACAAGGAGGAGTTAGTTAACAGCCCTGGCTGTTAGGAGTTTTAACTGCAAACAGGAAGTTGTTTCTACAAATGCTCCTCACAGAAATAAGGCCCCAACAAGGAATGAGACTTTTGACTATGAGCGACTATGTCCAAATGAAACTCTCATCTGAGGGAGCCCCGTTTCAAATGCAAAAAACCTGAGTGACATCATGCCACCACCTCCAGAACTAGAGATGGAGACAGGAAAATAAGACGGAGGCTGAGCAGGAAATAAACTTGTAGGATCTGTTGGTATCAGTGAAGGCCGAGAGAAGTCCAACGAAGAAGGATGGAGACTCCGATGTTCACCCCTTTTATCCTTTGCCATTAAAAATAAATTCTGGTTTCTGAACTCCCTGAAAAGGGAGAAGCAGGGTTTAATTAGAACTGGATCCTGCCGGAACAAGATCCAGGAACTCTCATTTTGACAGGGTGCTTCTGGCAACTGTTTCTTGGATCCAGCAACTCTGTCTTACTAATAATAAAGTTACAAATTAATATGACTGCCTTGTTGTTTGGGAGCCATGCATGAACCGTGTCACTCCCCTCTGCTGCCGAGAATAAATATCTCCGACACCTCCTCGGTCCTCCGCTGCTGTTTTTATGACACTGGACGCTCGTCACTCACAGCACGCATGCAACAAAGAGTAAACTCAAAGCGAGATACCTGCCCCTCTTTCCCCTTTCTAGTTGACAAAATGTTTTAGTTTTATCGCTGAGTTTGTCAAAGCCCCCCCCACACACACACACACAGCCGGTCCGCCTGCTGTTTTCGTTTTGACATCCATTGGTTAACAAGCCCTGGGGAGAAGCACTGAGATGTTGATGTAAATGGAGGTATACAATGTTTTTCTGTTTTATTGTTATTTTAATTATTTCTTAATACTGAGAAGAGCTTCCTGGCAACTTCCAGTATCACACATTGCCTTAAGTCCAGTCAGACTCAGCCTGAGAGAGCAACATGGGTGTGACTTCCTGTGGGCCCACTGCCTGCAGGAGGAGCCATATGAGTCGGGTGCATGATGCCATGGGCAGTAGCCGAAGATGGGGGCCTTGGCGCTCTGACCCTGGCTTACCAAAGCTGGCTCTTGGGACATGGAATGTAACCTCTGGTGGAGAAGGAGCCTGAGCTTGTGTGTAAGGTTAAGAGGTACCGACTAGATATAGTTGGACTCACCTCAATGTACAGCATGGGCTCTGAAACCAATGTCCTTAGGAGGGGCTGGATCTTATGCCACTCTGGAGTTGCCCATGGTGATTGGGGCCAAGCTGGTGTGGGTCTACTCTTCGCCCTCTGACTTGATGTCTGTGTGTTGGAGTTTTCCCCGATAGTTGAGAGGGTAGCTTCTCTGAGCTGTCGGGTGGGGTATGGGCTCTGACTACTGTTTGCACCTACACACCAAATGGCAGTTTAGAGTGTCTGGCCTTCTTGGAGTCCTTGGTGGGGGTGTTGAAAGGTGCGCCAGCTGGGGACTCCTTTATTCTGCTGGTGGACTTCAATGCCTATGTGGATAATGACAGTGTGACCTGGAGGGGGGTGATTGGGAGGAACGGCCTCTGATCTGAACTTGAGCGGTGTTCTGTTGTTGGAGTTCTGTGCTACTCATAGCTTGTCCATCACGAACACCATGTTTGAACATAAGGGCCTCCATAAGTGCCTTTGTCACCAGGATGCCCTAGGTTGTAGATCGGCGATTGACTTTATAGTCATGTCATCTAATTTGTGGCCGTTTGTTTTGGACGCTTAGGTGAAGAGAGGAGCTGACCTGTCAACTGATCTCCACCTGCTAGTGAGTTGGGTCAGATGGAGTGTAAAGATGTCAGACAGACTCGGTAGACCCAAACGTGTACTGAGGTTTTGCTTAGAATGCCTGGCCGAAGAACCTGTCAGAAAGATGTTCAACTCACACCTCCAGGAGAGCTTTAACCACATCCCAGCTGAGGCGGGGGACATTGAGTCTGATTGGGCCATATTCTGTGTCCCAATTGTTGAGGTGGCTGCCTTGAGCTGTGGCTGCAAGATTATCAGTGTTTCTCGTGGTGGCTATCCTCAAAAATCCCTCCTCATCATGAGTTTGGATGTGGGAGGAGTTCGGTGAGACCTTGGATAGAGACTCTCGGTCAACTCAGAGGAGATTCTGGCAAACCATCAAGCAGTTGAGGAGGGGAAAGCAGCTCTTTACTAACACTGTGTTCAGCGAAGGTGGGGAACTGTTGACCTCAACCCGTGATGCCATCGAGAGGTGGAAGGAATACTTCTCAGACCTTCTCAATCCCACTGGCACATCTTCCATGGAAGAAGCTGAGTCATGGGACATTGGGGTTGGTCTGTCCATAACTGTGGCTGAGGTCACCAAGGTAGTTCAAAAGCTCAGCAGAGGCCGGTCTCCAGGGGTGGATGAGATTCATCCTGATTTCCTTAAGGCTCTCGATGTTGTGGGGCTGTCTTGGTTGACATGCCTTTGCAATATGGTGTGGAAATCAGGGGCAGTGCCACTGGATTCGTAGACTGGGGTGGTGGTTTCCCTCTTTGAAAAGGGGGACCGGAGGGTGTACTCCAATTATAGGGGCATCACTCTCCTTAGCCTCCCTGGTAAGGTCTATTCAGGGGTACTGGAGAAGCAAGTTTGATTGCTGATCGAACCTCAGATCCAGGAGGAACAATACGGGTTCCGTCCTGGTCATGGAACACTGGATCAGCTCTTTACCCTCACTAGGGTCCTTGAGGGGTCATGGGAGTTTGCCCATCCAGTCTACATGTGTTTTGTGGACTTGGAGAAGGCTGTTGACCATGTTTCTTGAGGTACACTGTGGGGGGTGCTCTGTGAGTATGGAATTGGGGGCACATTGCTATGGACTATTAGGTCCCTATACAAGCGGTGTGAGAGTTCGGTTCGCATTGCCAGTAGTAAGCCGGACCCCTTCAGGGTGGGAGCTGCATTCTGCCAGGGATGCCTGTTGTCACCGATTCTGCTCATAACTTTTATGGACAGAATTTCTCAGTGCAGCCGGGGGTTAGAGCGAGTCTGGTTCTATGGCCTCAGGATTTCTTCTCCGCTATTTAAAAAAATGTTCAGATAAAAAGTGTCAACTAACTTTTTATGTAATGCATATTTCTGTTCATTACCCTGAGATGACTTCTTTTGTGACTTAGCGCTATATAAATAAACTGAATTGAACTGAATTCTGTTTGTGGATGATGTGGTCCCGTTGATGTCATCGTGTCCTGATCTTTAGCTCTAACTGGAGCAGTTCACAGAGAGTGTAAAGCAGCTGAGATGAGAATCAACGCCTCCAAATCTGAGGCCATGGTCCTCAGTTGGAAAAGGGTGAGGTTTCTTTGGGTCAAGGGTGAGGTTCTGCCTCAAATGGAGGCGTTCAAGTATCTCAGGGTTTTGTTCACGAATGAGGGAACAATGAAGCGTGAGAGTGATGGATGGATTGGTGCAGGGTCTGCAGTATTGTGGACTCTGTGCCAGTCCGTTGTGGTGAAGAAGGAGCTGAGCTGTAAGGCAAAGCTCTCTGTTTACCGGTTGGTCTACGTTCCTATCTTCACCTATGGCCACAAACTCTGGGTAGCGACTAAAAGAATTAGATCACGGATACAGGTGGTTAAAATGAGTTTTGACTGTAGGATAGCTGGACTCTCCCTTAGAGCTACAAGAAGTGGCTGTGGAAAGAGAAGTCTGGACCTCCCTGCTCAAGATGCTGCCCCCGAGACCCATTATGTATATATGTTTATGTATGTTTAGATATGTTGATGGACATTTATGTATGTTGATGGACGTTTATGTATGTTTGTATGTATGTTTGTGTATGTTAATGGATTTTTTATGTTTATGTATGTTTGTGTATGTTGGATTTTTTTTGTTTATGTACGTTTATGTTCATGTATGTTTATGCATGTGTAAGAGCAGGTAATAAATTTATATATTTGTGAACGGGTATTATGTCACGTGGGTAATCAGCGGTCTATATAGTAGGAACCTTTCTTTGTGAGTGCAGGCGTTTCACCCGGACGGGGGAAACAGTTTTTGACCGCTGAATACGAAAGAAACTAGTTGCTGTCAACAGATGCAAGCATTGTGGAAATATGTATTGCCTTAAAATGGACACAGATGAAACTTAAAGAATAAATGGATTACCTGCAAACGAGCAAGGATGGCTCTGACTTTAATTCATCTGACAAGGTAACAATCAGCGCGTCAACACTACCCCGGTGAATCAGTGGCTTAAAGCATTGTCTTGGCCTCTACAGTACGTTTATGTATATTTATGTTCATGAATGTTTATGTATGTTTGTATTTATGTATGTTTTTGTGTGTTGATGAATATTTTTATGTATGTTGATGGATTATTTAATGTTTTTGTATTTTTATGTTCATGGATGTTTATGTTTATTGTATGTTGATGGATGTTTATGTATGGTTATGGATGTAACTTGTACTGAAATCTGCCCTTAAATTAGAATGCTGGTTAAAAATCTTCACCTGCCGTGAGAATGGTTCTTTTGAGTAAACATTAGAAAACAAGAGAATTTCTCCAACAGAACTCAACAGACCCACCAGGTTCTGATGACCCCGTCCTATTTCAGCAGAGTTTCTGTGAACAAACGGGCCTCAGGATGAGAACAACAGAGTGGACTAGAACCATCAGCTGAAGACTTCTTCTGCTCACATTCAGCCAGCAGAAGAGTTATGCTTCTTGTCTTTAAATTTTAAATAAATAAATAGACTCAGACATGTTCTCTTTCATTTGTCTCCTTTGTCCACTCGTCCCTTGGCCTGCTACCTGATCCGTCCGTCCTCTCTGGGCTTGCTCAGTTCAGACTTTGGGTCGGGGCTGGCAGAGCTCCACGTGGTGAGGTAGCAGTGCTGCATGGTGGGACAGGCACTCTGACCCAGGGAGCAGACGTCTGAGGCGGCCCAGTGACCTTCCAGGAGTTTATCCAGCCAGCGGCGCAATGGCACTCCTGTCAGACCGGAGTTAGACTCCGCCTCCTCCACGGCGCTGAGGCTCACCGGCAGCCGCAAGATCGGATTCAGACCATGAAAACTCTGCTCCATGTAGGAGTTCCTGGGCGGGCCATTGTGGAGCCGCAGAGCATCCTCTGGGGGCCAACCAGAAGAGGTCAGGATAGGACGCCATCATCACCAGGACAGGACACCAACCAGATTGGGTTAGGACATGGATAGAAAACAGATACATCAAATGAATATATCCTTTGAACAGTTCTCAGTCTGAAACTAAAGCCGGAGACGAGTCAGACTTTCAGATTTCTCTGATGATGGACTTAAGTCCAAAACCAACTTGTCTCTAAGATAAAGGACTGAAACTGTTGCCGCACCTTTCTGGATGAGTTGCTGTCGGTAAAACTCCAGAGGAACCACGATGAAGCTGGTCTGACCCAGCAGAGTCCAGTGGTGCAGGACCCTCAGGGTCCAGGCCCCTGGCCGGAGTGGGGAGTTGAGGGGTGGGCGGTAGTGGGTGACCTCGGCAGACGCGTCCACCAGGATGTCGTAGGTGGCGGCGATGACGTTGGTGGGGTCGATCCACACCACGGTGGCCGTCAAGTTGCTCTGGCTCCGACTCCATCGCTGCACAGCCACCGGCTCATCCTCGGGTCCCAGCAGACCACCCCAGTTCCTGAAGAGGCGCTCCTTTGGATCCCAGTCTGAACCAACCTGGAAAGATCCAAGACAAAACTTTGGGCTTTGGATCTTTTCAAGAATCTCTGGTTTGTAAAAATGATTGTGATTTCTATATTTAAAGTTTTTCTGACGCTGAAACAGTTTTTCTGTTCATGTGTTAAAAAGTCCTGTTGGGTTTGGACTAAAAGTTCTGGGTCTCTGGTTTAAGGGAGCAGACCGTGTGAATCATGTTTATGTCAAACATCTAATGTAACAGATCTAAAGGCAGTAAGTCATTTATTTTTAACATATTGTTAAAAAACTCCTGGTCCTCAGTTGTTTTTTTCCCCCTCCAGGAATCCAGACTATTCTGGTTCTCAATCTGTGGTTCTCTGGACTTTCTGAAGGTCAAACAGAGTTCGTCTCTGGACTTTGGCTGCTTTTTCCTCTCGCTTTCAGTCCAGACCACATTCAGAAGGTCTGGAGATCACAACCACAATAAAAAGATGACAGGAAAGTGATAATGGATAAAAGAATGGATCTGGACCTCTTGTCCTGTTGGAGGTGGACCAGGGGTGCTGCTGATGTGGGAGTCTGACCTGGATGTGCTGGAGCCTGTTGTTGGCGTTGGGTGGACTGGCTGGGGTGAAGTGGTCTTTAGGCATCACCCAGGTCTCCAGACTCTCCAGCTGAGCGGAGGCTCGGTTCATGGCTGCCAGACGCACCAGGTAGCCCTGGAACTGGTCCGCCATGAAGTAAAGGTGCACCGACACCGGATGGCTCATGGCTGTGAACCTGAGAGACAAAGTGTTCACAGCTCACCCAGTAAACCAGTAAAGATGATCCAACAGTTAATCAACTTGTCAAGAATAAATAATAATGTGAATAAATAAAGCCTTTTGTGTGTTAATAATATCCTTGTGATGGAAACCACAAAGTGAGACCTTAAAACCAAACAGAACAGAACTGGAGAACATTCCCTCAAGCTTCAGAAAACCTCACGAGTTGCCCCCTGCTGGCCATCAGGGAGAAGGCAGGTTCCTGTTTGACTGTTCAAAACGATCAGACGAAACTCACAAAAATCAACCTCTAAAGACCAAAAGAGCCACACAGAACCTGTGAACAGAAAGTCAGAGCTTAAAGGATCAAATGCTGATGAAGTTCTGAGGAAAACAGACTCAGAGCTCCAGAAGGAACCACGAGGACCAGAGAAGGTGCTCAGTGTGGAGCTGATGGTAGACGAAGGGAACAGACTGGTCCTTTCACACACCCCCACACACACACACACACACACCATAATGATGATGCCTCCACCCATCCTGACCACCAATCCCCACCTGAACTCCAGCAACAAGAACCCCCTTGTAACTTCTGCAGGTCTCCACCCACAGACACACAGAGGCGGAAAAGCAGGTCCTGAGCAGAAACTGAAGCCTGATTGTCCCTCAGCACAGGACGTCCTTATCTTCTCATGCACTTTGGAGTCTGAGTTCGTCAGAGGAACGACATGTTTATCCTTCAGCACACGGAGGCGTTTGATTCCTTCACAGCAGGCCAGGTTCTACTGAACTGGACTGACTGTTGGAAACTTTATTCCTGTTGATCTTTGGGAGGATTGAGGAGCTTCTGGAGAAACGTTGGGTTCTGATGGTGGAGCAGATTGACCTGCTGAGGTCAGCTGAACTCTGAACTCATCACCAGTGTTTGGTTGTTCTTTCTGTGTCTTCGGATGAAAGAAGTTTAACTGCAGTGATGTCCATTATGGTTTGATTGACAGAATGAGTAGTGCACAGTAATCAGATTACTTTACCAAATGATCTGTTAATAGTAATGTTGAACCTCTTAACAGCTGAAGGACTTCAGGCTGATAAATCAGCTTCAGTTGTTTACCTGCAGCTGTTGTCGTCATGCCGTCCCTGCAGCGAGGCGGCGGCACGGGACACGCCCATACGGGCGAAGACGTGGTAGTGACTGAGCCTGGAGTCTGAGAGGCCAGAGATCCCATCCGTCTCCTGCTCATAGACGTTCTCCCAATATGCCCGGAGGCCCGGTGTGCCGGATGGGTACGGTCCGAACAAGAAGGCGTCCAGTTGACTGATGACCTCTTGATTCACGCTGGCCTCGAACTTGCGGGCGAAGAAGGTGGGCCTGGAGGTCTGCTGCTGTCAAAACACACGCCAGAGATAGACTCGAGTTAAAATGAATGATTACAAAAAGCTGCTTTTTTTATTTCACAACAGATTTTCAGCTCAACACGGTGGCACAACTGGTAGAGCTGCTGCCTCTCAGCAAGCAGGTCCCTGGTTCAAATCCTCGTCTGGGGGCCTTTCTGGGTGGAGTTTGTATGTTCTCTCCATACTGCGTGGGTTTTCTCCAGGTACTCCAGTTTCCTCCCACAAACCAAAAACATGCATGTTAGACTCATTGGCAACTCTAAATTGACCCTAGGTGAGTGAGTGAGTGAGTGAGTGAGTGAGTGAGTGAGTGTGTGTATGTCCCGTGTCCACCAAAAAAAAAAAAAAAAAAAGGCACAAAACCCGAAGTATCAACTTAAAGATGGACCTGGTGACCCGGTCAAACAGAACAAAAAGGTACCACAGCGGGCTAACCCTATACAGGGCCGTCAAAGTCGCTGCTGGTACCACACTAAAACTAGAAAAAAACTACAAAAACACCCATTACAAAAGAAGGTGCGAAAACAGGACTACCGGTCCCACCAGGCCAAAATTTCTACAACAAAGCATACAAAAAGTTAAAAATTACTTGGGGTGGCTGAGGCCGCCGACAGCAGGCCACAGCTCCAGGACAAAGAATAAAACAAAGACAGCAAAAAAAGGGAGGTTCAAAAATATGGGAGTATGAGAGTGTTCAAAAAACATAGTGAGCCAAAGAGAACGAGCTCCCTGAAACCAGCCTATTTATGGGTGGGCGGAAAAGGCCACAGCCCAAAACAATTAAAGGTTGATTAACCAACTCAAAACCTGTCCAAAAGGACAAAACACTAAGGCAGATGTGCCTGGTTCATAACAATGGGTAAAAGATACTGGATGGATGGATGGATGGAAAAGATTTTCACCCGTTAGGTTTATTTATTAATCATTTCTTCATTTCAAATGTGTGTGTTTTACTGTCCACAAAGTACATGTGTGTTTTTATTGTCCACACAGTACATGTGTTTTTATTGTCCACACTGTACATGTGTGGTTTTACTGTCCACACTGTACATGTGTGTTTTTACGTCCACACTGTACACGTGTGTTTTTACTATCCACACTGTACACGTGTGTTTTACTGTCCACACTGTAAACGTGTGCTTTTACTGTTCACACTGTACATGTGTGGTTT